ATTATTTATTTTATTTTATTTGTTTTCTTTGTCTTCCTTCATTTCTATTCCTTTATTTTTGACCGTGTTTTTCTTCTATGTTTCTGGGTTGTTAATTTTTATTCCTTTTCGAGGATCAAACTCATTCCTGTCGTCGAACAGCAATAAAATTGATCTCCTAGTTGCAGAATCCCTTCTTTTTTTTTTTTATGTATTATGGTTGACAAATTTTTTCTTTTTAATAATTGATTTCTTATGTATACATACATATATTTATATATTTAACTTTTCTTTTTTTTTTTTTCTAAATAATTTTATTTTCTCCATGAATGAATTCATTTTCTTTACAATCTTTCTAACGTGGTTAGGTTAGTTTTTAATATTTATCTAAAATATAAAAGAAAAGTAATAATAATAATAATAATATCTATTAATTTACTTTATTACCGCCATGTAATACAATAATTAGGTGTAAAAAAGAATTTTATCTTTACATTCATTCATTCATTCATTCATTCATTCATCATTCATAAATCATTTTCTATATTTATAAACTTGATTCTGTTGAATGATGAATAAATAGAATTATTTCATTAATAATTCATTTATTTTTAAATTTAAAGGTTTATTTTGGTTTAAAATTAATGTTGTTGACATAATGATGTTGTTTTATGTTAAAATATTATAACATAAACAAAAAAAACCAATAATAAAATTAATTTTTGCAACTCTGTATGCGAATATTATCATTAATGTTTTAATATTATCATTAATTTGGCGCAATTTTTAAATGACGTAATAATAATAAGATTTAATAATAAGTTAATGTAAGTTATTATTATTTTGTTTTTTTTGTTTTATTTTGTTTTACGACAGAAAAATAAAATAAAAATTCATTTAAAAAATTCTAATTAGACATGTTTTTTTTTTTTTTTTATTTCTTTTATAATTTTTTTTTTTATTTTATTTTATTTTTATTTTATTAAGAATCCATTATTATTAGCGGTTTAAGACATTAAATAAAAAACATTTAAGAGCCTGAATAAAAAAAAAAAAAAAAATTTTTTTTTTTAAAACGAGACAAAGGATTTTAGAAGTGCAATTAGAATTAGAAAAGAAATAAAAGTTTTGCAAGACATAAATTTTAATGTCAAAAAAAAAAAAAATCCTGGGACCAGACAAAAAAGTTTAAATAAAAAAAAAAAATTGTTTATTTGCCATCATCATCATCATCATCATCGTTGAATTTGACACAAACGTTGTTTTTGTTTTTTTTCTGGTTTTTAATTTCTATATATACTATTCTCGTACTTATAAATACAACTTATTACGGTCCTGATGTCTCATTTTTACTCAAAAGCAATAAAATCAAAGGAATAAAAAAAAAAAAACTTACTCAAGAGTTATTTGGTTGTCGTTGGGAATGCGCGAGAGCTAATAAACTCGCGCTACCTATGATTTCCGTTGATTCCGCATAAAGGCGCTAAAATCGTCGTTGCACTCATCGTTGCAACGAATGCATCTTGCATTTTCAATATTTCGACATTATTTGGCGGTTCGTTTGCCGGTTTTATTGTGCCATTTTATTGTTTTATTATTTGTTTTTTTTTTTAAAAATTCTATAATTAGTTTTGGATTTATTATATAAGTTTTTTTTTCAAAATAAAACGATTTTTAAAAAGCCATACTACGTAAGTACATATATATAAAAAAAAATTCTTTAATTTAATTTTTCGTATAAGGTATAAACTTTCATTATTAACGTTTTTTTTTTTTTTTTTTAAACTTTTCGTAAGTATTTTTACAAATTTTATTAATTTTTATTAAATATTTGTAAAAATTCACCCTAAGTATGTTTAATATAAAAAAAAAACCAAAGTTTTTGATTCTGTTGAATTGTCAAAGTTGCGACAAAAAATTGCGGTTATAAAACTTTAATGGCCGATTATTATTTGTTAATCATGTACTATTATTATCACAATTATAATTTTAAGATATTTATTAGAAAATGTTGCATAAACTCGGGTAAGTTGTTGTATAATTATGTCAAATGTTAATAATATTAATTTTTTAATGTTTTTTCATATTAAAATAAGTTAATAAATGAAATATTTATTGAAATAGAAAGACCCCCTGTTGACAACATTTAAAGTTTTATATAAAAAAATTTATATATATATATATATATCATGATGAAATTTTGTTTTTGATCTCTGTTTATTTTTTATAAAAAAAACTATTTAAAACTTTATTATTATATAAAATATGATAAACTTGTGCATAAT